TTCTGCTCAAGGCGTTCCTCAAGATCTTCTACGGCTTCTTGAAGTTGATTTTCCTGCCGTTTTTCCAGGTCTTCAAAATTCTTCTGTAGTCGAAATTCCTGATTTTCCAAAGTTTTCTTAAGACGGTCCTGATCTTCAAATTTTTCTTTCTGGCGACGCACTTCTAAATCTTCAACAATTTTCTCCAACCGTTCTTGTCTAATTTCTTGATTTTCAAGAATTTTCTGAAGCCGGTCCTGTTCTTCTTGTTTGTCGTGCTCTCGTTGAACTTTGAAATCTTCGAGAATTTTCTCAAGCCGGTCCTGTTCTTCTTGTTTGTCTTGTTGTCGTTGAATTTTCAAATCTTCGAAAATTTTGTCTTGCCGGTCCTGTTCTTCTTGTTTTTCTTTCTTTTGACGCGCTTCTAAACTTTCTAACATTTTTTCTTGATTTTCCATAAGTATTTTCTGTAGACGGTCTTGTTCCTCTTCTTTCTCTCTTCGCAACCTCTCTTGTTCTTCTGCCTTTTCTCTTCTCATATTCTCCATAAAATCGCCCAATAATTTGCTTACTTCCTCCATTTTCTTCGCCTGCTCCCTTGTACCAACCATAAAAATACTCTAATTCGGTCTAAAAATCTTCTAATCCACTTAATTTCTTCTTAAAATCCTCTTGAATCGCACTTCCGACACCAATTGTTACGGATTCCGTGGGTCCACTATTTAAACTCACGATAAAATACTTAACGAATTTATTTGTTTCACTCTGTACACACAACTTATACTATTTACAACACAACTTATGCAACTACTATTACTCTAACGGTATTTCGCGGTATTTTCAAACTTTAGACTTCAAACTTTAAACTTTAAACTTGTCCAACTGTCAAAGCGCGGGCCTTATATACCCCCTGGCGGTTGTTTCTAGATTTTTCTAAAGAATTCTATAATTTTCTTTACTTTCTGGCGAATGCGCCAGGTTCCTCAATGCACATTGCGATTTTAGCAGTATGCAGTTATGCAACCAGTAATACACCTTGACAATATGAACGTATCTTGAGAATCCGACTGCACTGTACTTCGTGCATACGTAAATCTGTTAGCTACATAGTTTTTATCTCTATCATCTTCAATTAAAGCTAAATTAAGAATTTGCTTTAAACCGTCTCTGCTATGTCCGTTGACTGGGACCAAAAGCAAAGGCATGGTTTTAATGTAAAAAATTACGAAAAGAAGTGTTAGTGTCTTCTTCAAAAACAAATATTTCAAAAAAATAAATAAAGCTATTTAGATGAATCAAAAAACAAAATTCGAGAAAAGATACACCTAGATGATAAAATTATTTTTAAATTCCTTGCTTTGTTAACGTACTCCACAGGATGTTTCAAACTTTCACCAAAATATCAGTATTTTGTTTTTCCTCGTATAATTGATAGATGGCAACTTTGATTATTAATTTAGAAAGAGGTACTAAAAAGTCAAATAATTTAGCTACAAATTGTTTAAAAATCATCAAAATCGCTAATGTTTATCTGTGTCGTCTCTTCTGAAGTAACAACTTGCTCTAGAAAGTTGCTTTTTTTACTAAAAGATAACTAATTGGCTCTTCTAAAAACTAAAATTAATTAAAAAAAAAATAAAAAGTTTTTTTTTTGATGTCGCGTCGCACAGTGTTGCGTATAATGGACGATGGACGGATGGATATGTTTTTGGCTACATTCTTTAAAAAACAATAAATATATACCTTATCGCTTCTAAAGTAAGTATTTAAAAAAATCCCTGCAAAAAAAACATGACTAGCTGGAGCTTGTATAGATTGCTATCGATTTATTCAGATAAATACAGACTTTATTTGTGTTAGTGTTTTCTGGGAGTAGAAATAACTTAATAATTTTTGTTTATAATGCAGGTTAACAACAAAGGTAAGAACTAATGTGAAATATTATATAATTTTTTTATATTTAATTTTCACTATTGAAACATAGATTTAAAAAAAAACAATAAGTTTAAACTTTAAGCTGGCTTTAAAAAATATATACCCTAATATACCTGTAATTTTTTGTCATCACTTGTAAAATTATCCTAGTTTACGTTACCGTTACCATTTTTTCCCCAGAGTGCCCGTTATCCAAAAATATATATTTTTTCTAGATACGTTACCTGCAATTCAGAACAAAATCTTATTTGAAGAATGGGCTGCTAATAAAAATACTAAAATTAGTCAAATAATATCGAAAATATAAGTCCTACTTAATTTTTGGAAAACTTTTCCAATGATCTAGTCCAACAACTGCAAGAAAAATTAACTTTTTTTGTATGAAAGTTGAGAGGTGGTGGAAAGAATGCAGTCGAACTCGCAGTAATTTCGAAAGAAGACATGCAGAATGGTTAGAAAACAAAACGTATTTTGAAATTAAATCCTTTTCAAAAAACGCTGCGAATCTAAAGCCGCAACCAGGTTCTAGCCGTGGCAGGCCTCAAAATTCGTTCGAAGAATGTTCCATAAAATCAAAAATCCGCAAAGTGGAACCTATTGTACAGGACTATTCTACGGAAGAATTATTGTTTGCTGCTGAAAGGTCTCCACAAAAAAAATTCTACTAGTTGTCTCAGTGAAAATAATGAACGCAAAATTTTGACGAATTCCGAAGCACTAGCGTTATTTTATGATTTAAACCTGTCCGCTCGAAAATATAATATTTTGAGAGCTGTATTGAATGCTCTTTATAAAGATTGTTTCCCGAGTTACTACTCCCTTTCGCAAACAAAAAATAATTTTTACCTAAAAAAAATGTAACCCAAACTTCTGCTAATATAGACCTTCAGGATCTTTTAAATAAAACAATAGATAGTATATTCAAAATTGAAAATGTAAATATTCAATCTAGAGCTGATTTAAAACTTGTTTGCAAATGGGGATTTGATGGTAGCTCGGGACATAGTCTTTATAAACAAAAATTTGAGGGTGGAAATCAAACTACTGATGCATTTATGTTTTTAGTGGCTTTAGTTCCGCTAAAATTAATAAATAGCTTTAATAGTGATCTGATTTGGTTTAATCCTCGGCCTTCTTAAACTTTATTTCTATAAACTTTATTGTAGGCCGATAAAATTTTTATTTATGAAAGAGCATATTTTTTATACCAACCCTTATACTAGATACTTTAGGGTTCAAGTTAAAATTCATGTGTAGATCAGATACCTAAATCAACTGAATAATCGATCAATTTGATTAACTGATAAATCTATACGATTTAGTTTAGAGGGGAATGTTTTTTTTATCTTAACTTTTTGTGAACTATCTATAATATCAAGCTACCTTAATATTGAATAAAAAATCGACGGGCACAACCATTTTTTTATGAAAAAAAAACTGAACTTCTAACAAAATTATGCGTTACTTTACAGACACACTGTATACTCCAACCGTCGCACCAAAACTTTGAACCCCCCTTGGAAAATATAAGCCACAGACAATTATTAACAACTATTACTATTTGTTTTTAAATTCCACTTGATGTAACCAGAGTTATGATTTTTGTCCTGCCGTGCTATATAATCGCAACACTGTGCGTCCTGGCGGATGCGCCAGGCTTCAACTAGTTGTATTATAATACTTTAAAATACATCAAAATGTTAAGGTGTCTGTTTTTCGTGCCGGTGAGTGAGTATGTCGAATGTTTAGAAGGGGAGTTAATCACCGCGACCTTACAGATCTATTGTGTGTCCCCCTTTCTTGAGTTATAACGAGTGATAACTCATCATACAGTCTCAGGGCTTTAACAAAAGCCAGAATCTGAGACAGCTCCACAAAGGCCAGTTCTCCATCCTCGACATCGGCCGTACCAAAGTTCATGGCACAACTGGTCGTCGTCTCGGCGCACTCACTGCTAAGGTGTTCTGGTATTTCCCTATTTTCCCCGCAAAATCTGCATTCGCCGTTGTTTCTCAGCTTTCTCAGCCTACTGAGGTGTTCGTTTAGGAGACAGTGTCCTGTTAGAAACCCCGTGACAATCCGAAGATTGTTTTTACTTAAATCAAGGAAAGCCTTTGATTTTTCTCGGACGTAAGTTCTGAGGAACTTTTTTGAGTATCTTAGACCGTTGGAGGACACCCATTCCAAGTTACGGATGGAGTCTTCCAGATTCTTCAGTTCCGTTTTCAGTTGGTTCCCGTTTGGAAAACAGAACGGTTCTGGTACAGTTAGTGGAGTGTTCGCTCCTTTCCTAGCTAAATCATTTGCTTTTTCATTGCCTTCTATCCCTTGGTGAGCAGGCACCCAGAGTAGGAGGACTTTTTTTTTTTGAACTATACAGGGTGCTACAAATTCGGGGTAGGAGCATTGGTATCTCGAAAACCGTAATAGATACGAAGATGGTTAAATTGGGGCAAAGTTGCGCTTTGGGATGTTCACCGAGAGAAGTTTTCAAGGATTGCTGAATTTAAAAAAAACGATTTTTTTGAAAATCACTTTTATTTTTTCCTGTCGTTACTTTATAGAAAACCAAAAAACTAATTGCACATTCTCATAGCCACTTTATTGGAGCTATCTGATAGTATTTTTAGATTTTCAAATTAACGGATAATTTGTGAGATACAGAGGCCAACTTGATTTTTTTAAATACGGACCTGCATTTTCTATTTCAGGTATACACCCAATACTAAGAAAATATAACCACAAATAACTATCAAAAAACCTTCGTCAATATGTCACAACTCGCTGTTTACATAACTCTATTCAAAACTAACTAAATTGCCGAGCGCGGGGAGCGCTTTACACATTGTAGTGGATGGTTTGCGAAATTTCCATTCTAGAACTCCGTCGTATTATATTTGTGTTCAGAAAGTTCTTCACAGCATCCGGGATTTTCCACTAATGTCTAGGAGATGGCGCGCTACTCATTTTCCGAAAGATGTCGCCACGCTTCTTGGCAATAAAAATATGCTTAGTGACCTTACGCTCTTCCGACAGATGTCGCCGTACATCTTGACAATATTTTCATATATTTCAATGACAAAAATGTTTTCTAGTATTTGTTTTATTACTTAACTTCAAATATAAATGATTCTTTATTATTAAACATTTTATGAAATTTACGGATTTGGTTATAAATTAATTAAATTCAATAAGTTGTTAAGATTTACACCATTATCAGTTTTCTTTATCTGCTTTTGCGAACCGTTCCAAGTATTGGTCAGCTAGCTTTTTATTCGAAGCGACTAAAACATTTGGCTTCATCAGATCGAATGGTTTACCTAAAACAGAATACATCGAAATAAGTAAAATAGCCAAAATAAGGTCTTTAATGCCACAGTCTGCAGTAAGGTATCTCGCCCATGTTTATCTTAAACTCCTGAACATAAATTGTCTTCAAATGTGATTTTGATTTATTTACTGATTTAGGTTTTTGCTATGAATTAGATTAAAAATAACGTATAAAAAAATTACCTGTTGCTCTCGGGTATATTTCAAGTTTGACATTTAACGAAATAAATTGGTAAAAGATGGGTTTGCTGGCCGAATTTTGAAAACTTATTTGAGCCCTTTAGCTACCACACAGTGGTGTAAGTCCAAAATTAACATTTTGAGAAAACAGTGCTTTTGTTTTCTTGTTCATAGCTAATTCTAAATAAATGCAATTGAAATTGAATATTCACAGTTTACATAAAAATGTATCCTAAAATTAATGTAGAAAAATAAAATATCTTGTTACTTACTAACAAGATTAAAAATAATATTGGAAATGACTGAAAAAGCTGACTTTTTTTCAATTCTGTGTTCCATTGTGCATAAAATAGCGTTAATGATAAGCACCTATTTCTAAATAAGATCGTCTTCACTTATTTCTAATAGATTCTAGTGTTGGGAAAATTCGAATTAAATAATACGACTAATTCGATAGTAAATTAAAACTAACTAATTCGAATTATCTTTTTCGATATATCGAGATAAAAATTAGTAGTATTTTATATTATATCTGTGGTAACCGAATTACAAATGAGCATAAAACATAACCTCTTATGGACAAATACGAATATTAGTAATTAGTATAGTACTATTAGTAGTATTCTTTCGTTCTGAACGAACTGAAAATTTTCACTTAAACTGATTTTATAAAGGGAATCGGCAAAGAAAGGAACGATCCGATATAGAAAAATCCAGAAATCATTGTTATTTCCTATACCACGTAGGAATAAATCAGTTTAAGTGAAAATTTTCATTTCGTTCAGAACGAAAGAATACTACTATTATTTGGTTCATTTCCATCTCACCCAAATTTCACCGAACACTAAATTTAATTTTCTTCTTTTATCTAAATAGTTATTGATTGCAACTGATAAAATAAAAAGAAATACGAACCGCACGTAAACAAGGACATACTTATATCGTTTTAGAAGAAGCTTTTATTTTAGATATGAGCTTTTTTCAATAGGAATTGAAACAATCATAAACTCGGCACTTTTAAATTTAAATTATAGTTTAATTTATTAAACGGCTTCGGCACAGTTAATAGAATACATTGAATAAAGATTTTTTTTTTTTATTCAGTGATAGAATATAGGTATGGCAATGGTTCAGAATTTGTTTAAAATAGCCCCTAGACGAGCACTAGCAGGGACGAATTTATTTTTAGGTTAAATTTATAATACTACTAAATAATTCGAATGATTAATTCGATTGTGAAATATGAATTATTACTAATTATTCGATGGTGAAAATAATTCGATTATTCCCATCACTAATAGATTCTATTTTCACTTATTTCTAATAAAGAAAGGCGTGCGTAGAGAGACCAAGTTGCAATGACCGCGACTGTAATTATAATATTCACCTGAACTATCTATAATATATCCTCCTGCCTCTCTGGCTATGAGAGTAGCAGCGGCTACATCCCAAGAATATAGAGCATCGGCTTGATAAGCATCAACACGGCCACAGGCTACATAACATATGCCGAGGGCTGCACATCCGTATGAACGAATTCTAAAAATAATAATAATGATATTTGATTATCAATAGCAGAAGGATAGGCTTGAAATGCCGACCCCGGTATACAATTTTGTATTACACGTATTTTCTCCAATTTTATCTTGATTTTATAAATAAAAAATAATCAAAAGTTAACATTTCAAATTTGGAATAGTGGCATATCTGACATCATTTATGGAAGTACCACACATTGCCAGAGTACAAAATAATTTCTAAAAATTAATTAATAAATTAAAAATTTTTGGGTCATGTTTAAACTAAAATGTCCAACGAGTCTCAGTCTGTAAAGGTTTCAACAGAGGACATCTAGAAAACGACTGAGAATACCATTTACGTTTGAATTAAAACGATATGACCAGGGGCGGATACAGAAATTTATTTTAGGGGGGGGGCCAAAATAAAAAGTAATGTAGAATAGGCTTTTTAGGGCGCCATTTTAACCCAAAAGCCTAAGATTTAACCCAATTTACAGATTTTAGGGGGGGGCCCGGGCCCCATGGGCCCCCTTCTGTATCCGCCACTGGATATGATAGACATTAGAAGCACGTTTAGTGTTTATTTATATTATTAAATTAATCTTAAATTTTCTGGAAATTTAAAATAGAAAATTCTTTCACAAAAATACTAGAAATTAAATACGTAATTTTCTGTTGAAGAATGTTATTGGGAATGATATATTATGTGACTTTAACTGTTAACTTACCCTGATATCTCCCCAATTATATAATTTAATCTAGACATGTAGAGATTGCACATTTGAGTGCTTATTGTAGCTAAGGAGAGTTCGTAGTTGATCACACTCCTTTGAATTTCTGAAATTAAAAAAAGGAATTCTATTATTTTTCTTTTATTTAGATTATCTTAGATTGAAGATTTAGTAGCCCCCGAGTAATTTTTCGGCGTAGTCATTTTTTCTAATTTTTTTCACCCTCAAAGTATCGGATTACGTAACGCGCGCCGCTGCTTTAGTATACCTTTCTAATGCGATTAACAACACTAAACTTATTTTTGACCAATTAACTAGTCTATATACAGTATGTCCCCGGATTGTTTTTACAAAAGAAAAAAAACTTTTTTATTATTGACATTTTGAGAAAAATACATTCTTTATAAAAAAATTTGCTTGTTCTAGAATGTTTAATAATTTACAGTTTTACAACTTTCCATACCGTTTTAGAGGAAATTAAAGAAACGTAAAAATTAGTTAAATTTTTGTCAGTCCCAAACATAGACAAACAAATAAAAAGAGACTGACAAATCCTATGGTAAAGAGTGGGACCGCGTTCCCGTAGCGCAACTCAGAATAACAATTTTGAAACCAATTAGCAGGACCATGGCAGGACGTACGTCTTTATTGCTATCTTTCTTTATTATGTGTGCTTTATATGAAAAAGAAAGAGATAGGTATAAAACGTATCGTAAGACATTATCGCCCATTCTGGCTGGCTTAAAATTTAAATTAGCCATTATTAGTAGTATTCTTCCATTCTGAAACTGAAAATGTTCACTTAAACTGATTTATTCCCTATACTACATAAAGGGAACAAAAATCATGGTGTAGGGAATAAATCAATTTACGTGAAAATTTGCAGTTTCTTTCAGAACGAAAAAATACTACTATTATAAGGAAAATTATAAAAAAAGCAAAAATTGTACTGTTTTATAAACATATTTATTTATACATAAAAATAAATAAACTTTTTATAATATAATAACAAAAAATAACAGTGTTTATTCCACCCACCTACCAATTTTAAATGCAGAGGAACTGACTGTTGCAGGAAACGATCGGCCAATTTTTTTAAAGCACATTAAAAATCTCATTTTCGAAAAAACTACCTAATTGCAATAACAAAGTGAATATCCAAGCAAAGAAGACTTTACGAGAAGCATGATCCTGAACCACTTTCAAGTCCTAAAACAAAAGTAAAATAGGTATATTAATAAAGTTTCTGGTTACTATAAACCAGCTATAAACTACCTACCCAAAAAAAGAAAAAAAATAATTCTATTAATTTGTTATGTTAAGAGAAGTTTGAAATATTTTTGACACTACTACTTCTACTTTTTTCTTAATAAGATGATAAATATAACTACTTACTTATATTTTACCGGGTGTCTTTAACATATCTATCAGAGAAAGGGGGCACCAATACATATAGAAAATAGATGATACTGGCTCCTGCAGCAAATAAAATAACAAATAGTATAACCTAAAATTATAAGTAACAAAATATAAATACCTATATGGAACAAAGAAATTTGTTCCCTATCCATATTCATAAGTCAATAAAATGGAGAGTTTAGAAAAAAAGGTAAATCACCAAAAGAAAAATTAACAAACATGACGAATTGTCATGATGTTGTCATCTTGGTTGTCATGATGACGAAAACCATAGACGAAAACGAAAGGCAATTGTTCAAATTTCTATTTAGAAATTACGTTTTATATGGCTGCTTCTTTCTCTCTTGTTATATTAGAATGAGATAGTGGGCCCAATAGACGCAATGCGCAGATCAACATATATAGAACGAAATTTTGCGTTCTGAGTTGCGCTACGGGAACGTTGTCCCTCTCTTTGCCATTTAATTTGCCAGTCTCTTTTTATTTGTTTGTCTATGGTCCCAAAGTTATATTTTTTTATTTATACTTTTGTACCTTCAGAGTTAAATTAAATAATATCAATAAATATAATATACGGATTGTCTTTACAAGAGGAAAAACTTTTATTGACATTTTGAGAAAAATGCATTCTTCATAAAAATGTTTGCTTGTTTTAAAATGGTTAATCCCGTTTATACTTTTCCAAATTTCCATACCGTTTTAGAGAAAATTAAAATAAGCATGAAAATATGATTGATTTTTTTCCCTAGAAGTTTCTAAAAATTAAAACGCGTTTCTATGCTAATATAGTTTTGACTTCATTCTTTGATAGATTGTAAATGATAGAAACTTGTTGCATTTATCTATGGATAGAATTTTAATTAACGTCATATTTTTGGCTGTTTTAAAATATTAAAGAAGCACAAAATTTATTTAATTCAATTCAATGCTACGGTGATTATAGTTATTCCAAAATGTGATACTTTAACAAGAGCAAAAATTAGACTTTCCTCAAAATTAATAATAACCATCAAGTTTTTATGAAAAAATCATTTTTCTCAAAATATCAATAATAAAAAAGTTTTTTTTTCCTCTTGTAAAGACAATCCGGGAACATGCTGTAGATCAATATGTGCATAGATAAAAACAGTTTATAAACTGAAAGTTTTGTAAAAATTAAATTAATTTACCTAGGCGGATTCATCTCTCCAAAAAAATCCTATGTGGGTATTTCGCCACTGCACTGCAAGAAAATCTACAAAATAAAATAGTTATTTTTTGTAAACACTTCTGGCGTTAAACCCAAACGGACATTACTTGTCAGAAGTTATGTTTACAGTTATACAAATTTGCCTAACAAAGAAAAAGATGCTAAATCATACGAGGCGTTTCGGAAAAAATAAGAAGGATATTCTTTTGGATAGGATTCTAATGATTTCTGACGTGCAACGAAAGTTGTTCCAATTTCCCTTATAAATGTATTGCTCATGCATCTGTAGATGTTAGTAATGTATGGCAATCGCTTCTTTGATTTTAAAGAACATAACATAAATAAACATAACATACGTAAAATTTAAGAATAATCATACAGAAAGTTTGGGGCTTTTTGGTTTTACCTTATTAAGTAATTGTTATCAGATAGTTATTGTTAATTTTGAAGTTTAACTTGATATAATGTCATTTTAACAGAACGTTAACGGTTTCTTGTAGACGTATCTGTTTTAAAAAAGTAAAGTGTTCTCGAATAGTTGAATTTAAATATTTTAAATAGTTTTTTTCTTTATTCTTTGTATTTTTTTTGCTTCCGACGACGGAAGGAGATAAACTTTCTGAAACGTTAAGCATTTTTTTCTTTGTTAGGCAAATTTGTATAACTGTAAACATAACTTCTGACAAGTTGTGTCCGTTGGGGTTTAACGAAGAAGTGTTTACAAAAAATAACTATTTTATTTTGTAGATTTTCTTGCAGTGCAGTGGCGAAATACCCACATAGGATTTTTTTGAAAGTTTTGTTTCTAAAAAAAACAACAATGATTTTTTTTCTTTCTCAAGCAAGAGTCCAGGACTTCTGTGCTTGTATGGTCTATACTACTGGGGCTATCAAACCATAGACCGTGCTGACTGTTATTTACAGATTTCTACTCACAAATATGACTTCACTGTTAGTACTTATTCATTTTTAGTACTTAACGCATGTATGCCAGTACATATACGCGAGTGTGGCCTTTTTTGTGAACTCCTTGGGAATAATTAATTAATAATCAGGAAGCATGAAACTATTAAATGTTCAAGCGGCTATAGACTGCAAGAAGAAGGTGATATGATCTATGAGATGAACAGATAGATTATATGAAAAATCAGATCCTGCACAGAAAGTGGAAATCTGCTAAAATAAATAGAAATGGATGTATGAAGGTTACAGTTGTTGATTTCTAAAACTTGGTGGCGTAGTGATACCTCACCTGTTACTTCACTCGTAGTGATCTTTTTCCCATTCAAAAATGCTCCTTTGTCCTTAATGGCGGTATACAGTTCATTGGCGTATGGATTATAAACAATACCCAAAACTTGTTCTTTATTAATAGTTAATCCAATGGAAATGGCACATATAGGCATTCTTTTTACGAAGTTATTCGTTCCGTCGATGGGATCGATAATCCACGTCGGTGAATTGGTTAATTGCGGTGTGTAATTCTTTTTATCTGCTGTTTCTTCTTCGCCTATAAATCTAAGATACACAAAGTTGATTGACAATTCTTTTTCTAAATATGATAATGAGCCACCCTCGTTCCTTTAAAAAAAAATTGAGATATAAAAATTAAAATACGATTTGAGCATCTTTTAACCGGCCAGGACAAGATACGAAAAGCATTAGACGATCAAATCTATTTTTACAAGTCTCCTTGATTAAAAATTTGTAGTTTTGACACAGCTAGGGTACTCTAGATTAAAATTTAAAGTACGATTTTTTTTAAGCGAGAATGTCAAAAGTTGACATGATTTGCCATTCTATTGAGAGTGTCATTTTCTATCGAATATAGTAAACAAATACCGAGATAATCAGAACGATTGGGTACTTAAAAAATTAAATACCCAATCAATCTTGATTTATATCATATATTAACGTACAAAATCAGACGAATTACCGTAAAAAAATAAAGCGGTGAGCTACTTTTGAGAAACACCCGGTATTGTTTATTAGTTATTAAAGAACAAGATTCAATAAAAACACTTACTGGTGGTCTGGATAGTTTTCTTTTAATTTTTCAATCAGTAGTTTTTCAATCTTCTTGTCGTATAAAGTAACTAGATCTCTCGGGCTACTTTTTTCTTCTACTTTTAAATCATCTGTACTATTTATGGTCAATAGTTCCTAAAAATAGTAACATAAAAGAAGTTTTAATTTGATCAGTTAATTTCAAGTCGGTTCAACAAGTGGAGGAAACATTTTGACAGACGAAAAAAAAAAACAAAAAAAAACTTTTTACTTTTCAATCCAAATGACAGACAATATTATTTGTATATCATTTGTTGCCCATGGCTGTTAAACTATCACTAGTATCCATTCGGTCGTTGGACATACTATATCTGTATGATATTAAACTATATTTTATACATATGTTTATAAACTATAGATGAATATTATTTAAATATATTCGATACCAATTAAACTTTTAGTTACGTAATTGAGGGCGCGGTTTTTAAAATCATTGTTGCCAACCATGGACGCCGGGCTGACTAACTGGAATTTAAATCGCGCCGGGCTGACTAACTGGAATTTAAATTTCCCGCTGGGTATTCAGGTGGTGGCCCTGCTGTAAAAAATGTCAAGTTGCCGCATTTATTTATTTATTTCCTGACATTGTCATTCGTTTTGATACTTTAGTATTGTATTACGAGTTTTTGGTTTAAATGAATTGTGTTGTGATATTTTAACGTTAAACATTTTTACTAACAGACCTTGCGGTCGAACATTGTTCCTTTTAGACCCTCTTTGAAGTGTACAAGATAGCTTAATAGCCGTAAAAACCTCATAGAAACTTTATTAGAATATTTTGAATGAGAAGCAGTAGTAATGGCCCTTTATGTCTCCTAAGTGCTGTTAAGAAGGTGAGTTTTCTTGATGCAAATAACATCTGTTTATATATTTATAATTAATTTATTTTTATTTCCTAGAATATTTTGATTAAAAGAGAATATGTAAAAGTGGGCAACGCTGTACTGATCAAGCTTAATCACGTGACTAAAAGTTTATTTGATATGAACTATAGTTTTAAATACTAATCATTTTAATATCTTAAATATATATTTTTAATAGCTTTCCTTTATTTTTTTACTTCAGGCGACTGGGGGAGATATACCTTCTGAAACTTTAAGCATTTTTTGTTGGTTAGGCAAATTTCAAGTTTATGATAAATACATGAGAGAAAAAAAATATAAAATATAAGTGGCTGAATAAGTTTTTCGATAAATTTTGTTATCGAGAATACTAGTGGTAATCTAATCCATATCATTTTAATAAATAAAAAAATATATGCACATTAATGTGTTTTTATAGTTTAGTAATACTCCTAAACAAATTCTTAATTTTTGAAAATGACATTACGTTATTACAAGACACTATTTTTCTACGTTCTTTCTACTGCAATACCACCTTAATGATTGTCTTTTTACACAAAATAATTAAATATATAAACACTGTACCTACTTTTCCAGCATCTAACACTAGTGGTAACAGAAAATCCATATAATTTTGTAATTCCTTCTGGTCCTTCACAGACATGTTAAATTAAATATATTAATTAATATCTAATTAATGAACTGCTATTACACTTAAAACGGTTTTTAGACAATGCGATGTGCTGTATTGTTTCTGTAACATTAACTTTATCAGGAATGATTCTGCACTTTCTCTTGATTTATTGAAACTCTACGAGGTTGTTTGTAAAAAATCCAAGATGTCATCTAACATTAAATTAGTCGGAATTTATTTATATGTTTTATAGTTGTATACAAGATTTTTCACACAATAGATTTATTAAAGTTTTTTTACGATCTAGGTAATTTTTTAAATAAATATAAATTTTGAATGTTTTGATTTAACGTTATTTCCAAGTGTGCTTTTTTAAGTTTTAATTGTAGGCCATTTAATGCTGATTAAAAGTTTTGTCTTGATATTTTGTCGATTTCGATCTCTTTGATGAGATAAATCAATTTTATTAATTATAATTAAGAAAATTGGAATAAAAATAATAAATCATGTATTTAATCTAATTTATTATTATATTTTATTAAAATTTACAGATGTACAGTGCTACTATTTTTGAGAAGGAGGGGAAAATCTTGTATAAGACACCCCCATTGGGTAATGCCGGATTCCTACAGGCTAAAAAAACTGCACTGTCATAGAACCGCATTGGAATCCGCTAGCGCGAATCTGGCCGTTGTCCTTAAGCTTCTTCTATCAGTCTCTGCATCATCTGGGACTCCCCCTTCTCTTTATTTTCAATAATATATCTTATAACCGTTATAACTTTGTCCCATCAGGCATTTTCCCCGTCAACTAAGCTATTTGCTACATTTTCTATGTTAAACACTTTTTTTGTATCTTGAATATATTGACTTCTAATTTGATCCCATCTACGGCATTCAAATATTGACAATGTATACATTCAATATGACAATATGTACATTCAGGTGTCAGTCATTCAGTCATGTGTTATTAAAAACACTTTGGTCAGTTAAGTTCGGTTAGGTTAGGTTGCTGGGGTTTGGGATCCTGTTTGATCCTTTACTCGGAGACCTTAGGCCCATTGCAATACCCCTGTATTATTGTAGCAAACCATCCTCTCATTCTTTCTTTGCGTTAAAGCACTTCCAGCTCTTTGCAAAGTTCCCGATGTCGCTCATGTTGGCTTCTGCTGCTTCTTCTAGGCCCTCCAAAAAACTTTGCGCTAAAGTTTTAAAGTGTCGGTATTCTGTGCCGGATAGTGGCACAACAGATGCTCTATGGTTTCTTCTTCCTAGTCGTCGTTGGAAATGTTCCATCTCACAAGGTTTACCCCCTTGGGGCAGTTTCCAGTAATGACACCTACTTGTATGCGTACTAGGTTCTTTTTGTGCCCTAGTAATTGTTTTGTCTTTTTGCTATCTACCGCTGGCCATAGTCTTCGAGCTGTAGCGCAGTGCTCACGGTATTGCCACGTCTATTGTTGCTTGGCCTTGATGGTAGTTCCTATAGCTTTCTTCAGTGTGTTGATCGTCACAAGTGGTGGGTTATCGTATATATATAAGCCACGACCTCTCCCCTGGCCCTCTTTTTGGCAAGTCTGTCTGCTTCTTAATTGCCCACCACATTACTGTGGCCTGGCACCCAGCACAGACTAGCCCCGCCTGGCTGCGTCAAGGCAGTGCTTCTCTGCATTTAATCATAGTTTTCGATCTCACTGATTGAATGGTGATGCTTCTTCAAACTCCCAAGCTGTGAGTATATCACGATATCCCCTATTGGCTATTGGTCTATCAGCAATTTTCTCTCGTATACAACTAGCGGCTTCTTTTATGGCGCAAACCTCTGTTTGTAGAACATTACAGCCATCCGATCAAGCCTTAAAGGTCGTCGGATGTCTAGTTCCACTGAGAAGATAATTATAGCTGTGCCTCCTGATATTGCGGAAGCATCTGTGTAGACTGCTATCTCTTGAGTGTTCATTACTCGGTTGCTTTCCTATTCTTCTCTTGTCGGGATGCGAATCCTTATCTTTTCTGGTGAGCATATAGTCCGTTTTCTGGTCTAGCAGATGTGGACTCGTGTTCGCCACACTTTGGTCAGAAAAACATTAAAACATTTTAAAAGTTCCTATTAGACTTGGATGTCAAAAAATACATTTGCAGAGCTAAATATAATTAAATATTTTTCAACATCAGTGCATATTATTTGTAAGATTTTGTTCTCTATCTTCCATCTGTATGTAGAGGAGTTTTTTTTAAATAATTGGAAGTTAATATTTTCCTATTATGTAGTCAAATGCTATTTCTCCTATTCGACATAGATGACCAAAAATGCTCTACCATTGTAGTGAACTAAATGTCATTAACTAATACATGCCCATCTTGAGACATCTTGTATAAACCAAATCAAATGAAATTAAACGAATCTATGTTTATATTTCTTTAATTACTGTATTTTTAGTTTGTTTATGTTTTTTCGTTAACACTGTAAATATAGTTCTGATGATCAAAGGATGTTAATGAAACTACTATTTACATTAATATATTTCTTACTCTATTTTTTATAATATTACAAAATATTACATTAATGTTAAAGACGTATAAATGTAAGATACTTGCAAGTAATAAACGCTAAATAATTACGAATTCTTATCTTACTAACAATGGTAATACATTATCATAATATTACTAATGTCATTTCAGTAAACTAAAACTGGAGATAAAATGTAATGTATATTTTAGCATTTAGACATACGAGATGAAGATTACTGAAATCTTTAGAGTAATGCCAGTAAATCAAAATATTTGTCTCCGTGTATTCCGTGACACAATAGTTTCTTGAAAAGAAAAATGTCAACGATATTTATTTTATTTTTTCCGTGGGCAGTTTTGGTTGCTCTGGTAAAAAGTGGTTTTTTATTTTGTTCGTAGCTTCTTCATCAGCTTGCCTCTCAATCGCCATGAACTGGTCACTGAGTTCCTTTGACGATGCTGCGAGAAAATTTGGCTGCATCAAATCAAATTCTTTTCCTGAAAAAAAATTACTTAGTTTATTTTCTAATCAAAATTTAATCTAATAAAATGGTGTAGATAGTTTCTCATTAAACAATTTATAGTGTGTACTAAAGATATGGGTAGATGGCAGATCCGGTATTTTAGAAGAGTCGGGTCCGGATCTATATCATTCATCATTCATTTTAATTTAACTAAATTTTGTTTTGCATGATCAATCCGCGTTCAAAAGTTTTGTAGTCTCTTAAGGAAATCTGATGTTTGTGTTTTGCCAAATCCTTATCACCTGATCTTAGCAGTCCTATTTATTTCGTAGAGGTACTTCTACGAAATAAATAGAACAGCGTACATAATAGGCTAGTATTAAACTAAAACTAGAATAGAAAGTTAGATATACAGTATACAGGGTGTTCCTTAATGACAAACTAATATTTAAAGAGGTGATTCTTGGACCTATTCTAAGAAAAAAACTTCATATGAATATAATATGTCGTAAACATCTTAACTTTTCAGATATAGGGTAGTAAAATTTTCTATTTTTTCTATTTTCTCTTAAATATTAACATGCCATTAAGGAACACCTTGTATATTACCTGACGAATCGGTAACATATCCTCCTGCTTCCCTAACTATAAGCGTTCCTGCTGCAGCATCCCAAGGATAGAGTCCGTCGCATTGATATGCGTCTACTCGGCCACAAGCTACGTAACATAAACCTAAAGCAGCACATCCGTATGAACGAATTCTGAAATAAAAATCAAATAATGATAATTCTAAATTACTTACGTTTATAACAACATTTTCGCTGGTTCACTTCTGCAATCTTTTGGGATATCTGTATTAAAATCAAATCAAGTATCTAGTTTATTTTTTTAGATATAACTGTCATTGTCATTAAATAAGAACTGTAAACAATAATAAACATAATTTCTATTGATAGTGACTAAGTACACTTTTTGGTTTTTGCTGATTTTTTGTTCGTTTAGGAAAAATTGTGTTCTTCCCAAACTTAAATAAGGCCGACTCCCTTCTGTTAAAATAAATTGTTCACGATCTCCTATTTCAGTAATTTGCAAGGTCACGACTATCCAACAACAGTTCAACAATTTCTGAACAAGTTTTTGCAAGCATGAAAGTTAATTTATTCAATTTAAAACAACTGTTCTGTGATTAGTTCCCCGAAGAAATTGGAAACAATTGCGAAACTGTCGTAACTGTTGCAGATGATACTGAATCCGTATTTACTACATTCTAAAATACCAATAACGATGGATGAAAAGAGGAACTCTCATTTTTTCTCAGAACCTGGACGATTTTTGTGGTGCTAAAAGGATGCAGGAATACCCTCAATTGGCGAATATAGCTGTAAAAGGTTTGGTTCCATTTGTAGCATCATATTTTATATTAATAAGTCGTCTGTGACTGCCTTTAAAACAACTCATCGTGACTAGTGATGGGAAAAACCGATTAATTTCAATAATCGAGTACTCGAGTATCAAGCGATTGCAATAACCGAGTGATCACTCGAGCGATATATCACTCGTATTTAAAAATACGGTTTTCACCCGTCGCATATTGTAAGCACTCGTTAACGCCAAGCAGTAAGTTGCGTGCGCAGGGCACATATTCTTTCGGTAATGGACGGCAAGTAGTAAGCAGCGAGCGATTCGCTTGACTTACAACCGAACCAAATCTCATTTTTTTTATCTAAAAAAAATAAAAAAGTTATAGGGGTGAGCCACTTTTGAGACGCACCCGGTATATACGGCGTCGTATAAATTTGCTACCTGCAATGTATGTAGAAAATTCGCTGGGCTTTTTATCGAGCATGTCACATTAAAATCGGATTTCAATTTATTTCATTCTAGGATCGCTTGCGTTCGTCGCTTGGTACTCGTCACTTGCATCGCTAGTTCATAATCGAGCGATATCGGTTATTTCAATAATCGAGTGCTCGAGCGAATGTTATCCTATCACTAATCGTGACCCATATCTTGGAAAGGACTGATCTAGAGAGCCACATAAATTATTCCTTATGGAGAAGAATTATGGATCAACTATGTGTCTTTTTACATGAAAGATATGTTGATGTTTATACTTATTTTGTTTGAATATTTTATTCCCAAAAGATTGCAATGGTATTGTATCTTTTTTGGTTTATTAACCAAAATAAAATTATTAACTTGTTTTTATGTTATAATATTTTTATGATATATTAATGACATCTAAAAAAATGTTCAGACGTCTAAAAAAATGTAAACATAGGGCTTAACACAGTGCAATGCTAATTTGTTAAGTATGTTCATTTTTAAAGTGGAACAGTCAATGCAGTGGATTTGAGTGGAATAGTATGCAACCAATACTCACACAACAAATAATATTTTTTGTTTTAAAATATCTTTTTTTGATTAGCCAAAAATAGTTTTAGCTTAAAAAATTACCGAAAATCCTAAAATTCGATGGAAAAAAAATATTTTGAATTTTATTTCATGTCTATTAATTTTTCGGCGAAAAACAGTATTGCCGGTCGGTATTTCATCAATGGATGTTAAAAGGTTGGCTATGGACTGACAACAGGGGATTGATTTACAAGTTACAATGATTGACGCCTATGTTCACAGTTAAAATAAAAGCACTGTATATTACACTTACCCAGAAACTTTGTCGATTAAATGATTTAATCTACTCATATACAGCTTTCTTAATTTAGTATTCTTAATGGCCAAGGATATTTCGTAATTAAATATAGATTTGTCGATTTCTAAAAAAAATACGAATTAGAGTAAAAAAGTGTAAATTGTTTTATAACCATCAACTAGGTATAATAGTCTAAGAACTAGCAACGGTTTCGAGAAAGTATTTTAAGAAAACTGGCTCTTTAATATATCGTTTACTATGCTCTCTGGAACAGCATGCGGCCCGTCTGGCTGCCGGTAAACGTTGCTTTCCCTACTGCGCATTGAAAGAAGATCCTATATTTTTTATTAGTCGTTTAAATTCTAGTATTGAATATAAACCGAGCGAGTCTCCATAACGCAGCGCGTAGAGGTTCCGTCTATGAAGCGAGGAGTTCGAGTTCGAGACCGAGTCGGGGTAAAAACTTTTTACCCCAACCAGAACTATTTAATAATTTACTGTCAGAATATAAACGAAAATAAAACAAAAATGTTTTTACCCCGACCCGGTCTCGAACTCTGACAGGCCCTTGATAGAAGGAACCTCTAGGCGCTGCGCTATGGAGAATCGCTCGGTTTATATTCAATACTAGAATTTAAATAATTGCTATTCCTCCTCGTATTCCTCTTCTTTTCCATGCTTCTCTTCAAATTGTTCTTCATTTAACTTCTTTTCGATAAAGTCAGGTAAACGAAGTAGGTTAAATACATCGGCAGGATAACTAAATTTACAAAGCAGCCTGCACAAGTAAACTATTTTGCAGCCTGCACAAGTAAAGCCCAATCCTGCTTATGTTCCTCGGAAACTTCCCGTTCGGCCGTTCTTCTCTGGGTTCTGGAAGATTGCTCCAAAAAAGGTAATCGTGTGTGGCCAGCAGATGATGTGGATGGAAGGGGTTAATTTAACTCAAGGATAAAATCCTCCTTTAACCAGTCATCGTTTTGTTTTAAAAATTAATCTTTAAGCTGCGAAGCCGCCTGCCATTTTCTTTCAAAAATTATACAAAGGCGATTTATCTTTTTTTCTATTGTGCCTGATAGTTCTTGTTCATTATTCTGAAATATACCCGTTGTTCTCAACTTTATAGGCCCCTTGTAGCCATTTTTCCAAAAGATCTATTTTTTTTAAATCGATACATCTTTTAAAAGAGTTGCAGCTAGTAGCAGCCAATTTTTTCTTTGATGTGTTCAGAAAGGATTGTTTCAAATTTTACAATAACATCTGGCATGGAGAAACATGGAGAATTTTTTATAAGTCAAACTAAACTTTTAACTTTTTATTTATGTTCTGTCTTAAACTCCTTATTTTTAATTAATTAAAAAATAATGGACGCTGATCGATCATATGTGCCATTGTTGGTGATTTCTTAAAAATACGTACTATAAAGTGTAAAAATAAAGTAATCCGTTTCTATATCCCACTGTAATATATCACTTAATATTCACCAACACTCTCACGAAAATAAACAACAACTAAATAGGCACAAATACTTCACTAGAACGTCTAAATATAGATGCCGATAAGGAATAAAAATGAAAACTAAACAAAAATATATGCATGTGGTCTTCTTCATTTGTATATTTGTTTGCATTCCACATACAAAAAAAGTCCATATACAGTGAGTCTAAAATATGTATTTTGGCCAAAAAATTAGCTTCTAGAAACCATAGTGCGCAGTAGGGGACGCAACGTTTACCGGCACCCAGACGGGCCGCATGCTGTTCCAGGGAGCATAATAAACGATATATTAAAGAGCCAAAAATACTTGTTTTCCCGACGTGGCTAGCTCTCGTACTACAGGTTGACTTGGACATAAAGATCATTGTCGTTTTGTATGTAAAATTATGCGATTAATGGCATCGATGATCATTTCCAAGCTAGCTTCATGCCCTTTATTTTAGTGTCATTATGGTGCGTATAAAAACCGTAATTTATATAGATTTGCAAATATCATATATGATCGAAAAAAAAACGGCGTCAAGGACGACTGGTGAATGACAATCGATGAAAATTTTGGCGAGGTCCATCTCTTGTAATACCTGTCTAAGTAATACCTGTGAGGCCGCTGGTTTTAAGGCGTTTTCCATTTAAATACGCTCCTTGGTCCTTGACAGCGGTGAATAGCTCGTTTGCATAAGCATTATAAACTACGCCAAGCACTTGTTCTTTGTCAATGGTCAAACCTACGGATATGCAAGTCAGCGGCATCCGTTTTACAAAATTTGCTGTGCCATCTATGGGGTCGATAATCCATGTCGGCGATGCTGTAAGTGTTGATATGCAATTTTTCTCAGCTGATTCTTCTTCACCAATAAACCTTATAACAAAAGTAATGTTGATTTAAAATATAAGAAATATGTATATTCAAAAGTATGGTATTTTAATAAGATCTTTAATAGAACTTAACAAAATATGAGTTAATTGTTTTCATTAATCTCATCATCAGTATAATGACGGCAGATGTAAAATGATGAAATATAGCAAGACAATATTTTCCAAAGGAATTTGTACAGGGTGTCCCATTTTAGTTGAAATCATACGGTATCTCCGTTATTCGTGAAGATAGAAGGGTGCGGTTTGCACAAACCTGTGCCATTTTTTTGTCAAACGCAAGATGCTGTCAACAAAATTTTTATAGCTCTCTTCGTTTCTGAGCTACAGGGTCTTTTTGAAAATTTTGCAATTTGGGGCAGCCCTCGTATCTTCGTTATTATAGATTATAGATGATATCGAGAAGGTAAAAACTGATTCCTGTAGAACTTTTTACGTAGAATACAGTGGCGTAGTCTGTTTTTCTACAAAAAAAATATTTTTGTAAATATGAACTAAAGTTGTGTTTTTTCAAATGGAACACCCTGTATATTTATAAATCGTATGACCCGCCTTGCTATGAGCTTCTCAAAAATATATATCACTCCATATTTATTTTCACTATTTACTGCAATATTTAAAATATATAATTTTGTTATTCATAGGCCATGATAAATAAAAAAAAATGGTATTTACTAAAATAGTCATACACATCTTAAAATTTTATTTGGAATTGATATATTTTACTTTTGAACTGTTACCACTGAATCTCTAAATATATTTTTCTTTTTTTTTATAATGGGATAGGTTTGCAAATATATCTAGAAGCTCGCATTATTAGCTTGCATTATTAAAGCATTTTCCAGGTGTTCGACAGTTGCTACGATATATATTTCATATTTCAAAAATCTCCAAAATCAGAAATCGAGAACGGACTCTATAATAACGGAGATACGGGGGCTGTCCCAAATTGCAAAGTTTTCGAAAAGACCCTGTAGCTCAGAAACGAAGAGAGTTATGAAAATTTTTTTGACAGCATCTTCGATTTGACAAAAAAAATGGCACAGATTTGTGCAAACCGCACCCTTCTGTCTTCACGAATAACGGAGATACCGTATGATTTGAACTAAAATGGGACACCCTGTACAAAATAAAACACAAACTCACCACAATACTCTAAACTCCTTTACTTTTGCAGTGGATGCGCATTTCTTTAAACATGTTAGCATCATCAGCAGAAGATTGAAACTAATTAAAAGAGATTAAACCCTACAGTAATCTTCTGCTGATGATGCTAACATGGTTAGCGAAACGCGTGTCTAGTACTAAAATGTTTTTTGGTGTATTGTGGTGAATTAGTGGTTTATTTTGCTGTTGTAACACCAAGGGTTCCAACCCCCAGCTGTAATAAAGGAATTAGAGAAAATATTTTTATTTTTAGTAATATCTCTCTTATTCCATAATAAATGGTTCAGATAGGTGAAACTTACTTATGATCAGGATATTTTTTCTTTAATTTCTGTATTAACAATTTCTCAATTTTTCTGTCGTATTCTGTGACTATGTCCCACACATTTCCATCTTTTATTTCGACATTTATATCTTCTACAGTTAATAACTCCTAAAAAAATATCCAAGTATCATTTGAATGTTCTACAATATTATAATATATTTATTTCTACAGGGTCTGGCAATAGTGCGTCGGTAGCTTCTAGAATAAAAAACTTGAGAATTTTGTTTAAGTGCAAACCTAAAGTATGTACCAGGATGTAATTCAGGAAAATATTTTAACTTCTATAGGGTGGCTCAAAAAAGTATGAGTGAACCTGGATGATTTTTTTAAATGGAACACCCTGTATATTTTTGCATTTTTGGCTTCCTTTCAAATCACTTTACATAACCCTAAGATATGAATAAATATATTTCGATAGTTTCAGAGATATTAAAAAATAAATCAAAAAAATATATTTTTCAGCCCTTCCTAAAAAAATTATTAGAAATAACTGTTCTGAAATCAAAACTATATTAGGTATTTACTTTAGATTAGTAGTGGGAACTATCGAATGAATACTATCGAAACATTCGGTAGTTGCAATTCATTCGAATAATTCGATAGCTAGTAAAAAACATTCGTTGAAAACTATTCGAATAAAAATTATCGAATAGATGCGTCATCTGCCTTGAAATATTGTATTCTAGTAATTCGGCAGCAAAAACCATTCATTTATAAAATTCATTGATTTATCAAATTCATTTATTCGTCAGGATCGAATATAATAAAATATTAACTGGATTTTTGAAGGGCTATCTGATAGTATTTTTAGATTTTCAAATTAGCTGATAATTTGTGAGGTACAGAGGCCGACTAATTTTTTTTTATATACGGACCTGCATTTGCGGTTTCTTTCCGAAAAACCCGACAGCTGTCGGTGGCAATGCTATGTAAGAAGCCGGCATCTTTGATTTTTTGCGGAGTCATATAAAGATAAGGACACATTTTTTTTTATTGAGGTGTTAGTATGTACACAGAAAATACATTATGAAGGGCGCTGTTGCCATATATTGGTATTAGTTGATATTAGCAAAGAATATTATTGTTTGGCTTTAGTTAGTTAGCGATAGTATGTATAAATATTTTGCATTTTTTTTATTAATATTCTGTTGTTAGGTTAGGTTAGGTTAGATAAGAAAATATTTTGGATGTAGGAAAATGATTTTTAATGTTTTTAAGCAAAGACTGGTTTAATAAAAATAATAATAACAGTAATAATTTGTTATACCTATAACAACAAAATTAAAAATAATTTAATATAAACATTTTTTTACGTAGTAGCAAAATATAAACAACAAATTAGATGTCAAAATTATTTATATTAGATCCTATTTAAAAATAATATAGTCTTTAAATTTTTTGTGGCAACGTTGGTTTATTAAATAATAATAATTACAGAACTAATTTGTTATGTTAACAACAAACTTTAAAATCATGAAATATAAACATTTATTAATTTTCTAAGCATGCAGTGTAATGGAAGGAAAATATAAATAAAAAATTCGAAATCAAAATTATTTATATTAGGTACTTTATATTACTATTTAAAAATAATATTTACTTTTACTGGCATTTACTTTAAAAAATAAATGAAATATTTCTTCGCAAAAAACTACATGTAAGAGAATTAGTATAAACAAAAAACAAACGTTAACTTTTTTTTTAAATTGGCACGTGTAAAACTTTCAATTTAATTTTCTCACACCATAGTTTAAGTTCGAGAGAACCATTTACTTAACCACATTACTTAAATATGATTATTAAGTTCAACTAATTCGTATTATTAAAACATCTAAAATACAAATATGTATTTTTAAAATTAATTCTAAGTTCATCTCATCTCTCTTAAAAATTGCTACTTCTCAAAATTTCCCATTAAACTATAGACCATATAAAATAAAATAATTGAAAGATCGTGCTACGGAAAATCACACAAATTTTCGGAAAAATTTTGACACCTGCACGTCAATTAAAAAAAACTACTATTTTAGTATTTTAAATATTTTAATAAACGCAAAAATAGCACAGTATTTATAAGGTGAAGTTATAAAAATTTGGAAGAACTAATAATGCACTGACGCACACAAAAATCAAACGAATACTAAATTTCATTTATCAAAAGCATTCGATAGTTGTGGCTCAACGATAACCATTTAGTCGCACGGCGAGGTTGTCACATATGCTTTAGTATACAAATGAATGAATGATTTTATTCGAATAAAACCATTCGATAGTTGAAATCATTCATTCAGTAACCATTCGATAGTCTAATTCATTCGATAGTTCCCATCGCTACTTTAGATGGTCTGTTCTTACTTTGCTATAAATATGATAATCGTAAATCATACAGGATGTTCAATATTCTACGCCTACTGTCTAAAATATAAAATATTTTTTCTTCGTTTTTTTTAAATGGAACACCTTTTATATTATTTTTTTATTAGATGGAGGAATCAACATTTTTTGTATTTAGAGTATTATATATTATTATATATTATATGATGGAGACACAATAGATCTGTAAGGTCGCGGTGATTAACCACCCTCCCAAATATTCTACATTCTACAACTGTATTATGCAGAAAATATAAACCGTACCGGCCGTACCGCCGACACATGAACGCATTAAACCAGTTGCAACAGAGACATCTAGACAACTCTTAAGAATAAAATGGTTCCATCACGTCTCAAACGTATCGGTCCTTGAAAAAGCTAACTGCGAGAGTATTGAAGTCATGATTACAAAGTCCTGCTTAAGATGGGCTGGTCACGTATGCAGAATGCAAGAAAACCGCATACCAAAATCTCTGCTTTACGGTGAGCTTATAGACGGTAAAAGGAGACCGGGCGGACAACTCAAAAGGTTCAAGGATATTTTCCACGAAAATTTAAAGGGAATTAACAAGCAGAATGAGTGGGAAGAGGCAGCTCACAATAGAACGGAATGGAGAAGAATTGTAAAGTCAGTTAAGAGCGACAACCAAAAAGTAAAGAGGCAACAAAGCAATGAGATTTTTGAATGTCTGGAGTGCGGTAGACAGACAGATAACATCACATATCGGGCTTTTCAGTCACAGAAAAGCTGATGAAAGAAAACGCCTTGCGTGACCATCTTCTGATGCGTGTCAAATACTCGACAGCGAGTAATGGCGGTATGTATGTATGCAGAAAAAAATGTGGAAGGAGAAGAAAGTTTCTAAACTGACGGATACATGCCAAAATTTTTTTTATTACAAAACTGGATTGGACAAGATGTCATTGGATAAAAAGTAAACTAGATCTTTGAACACACCCTCTAAAATTAAAAAAGTATTCAAACACTGCAGAAAGAAAAACGAATGAAAACAAACTTTTATTTTATTTATTTATCACTTTTATAATAATATAGGAATAACATTTCGAAGTTAAAAATGCTTATTTTACCGCTACCGAATGACATGCAAATAGCATTAATTAAATGACGAAAGTAACAATCTATTAGTAAGAAATCAGAAACGTGTTCGCAATTATGTAAACTCTGTTCTTGATCTTGTTCAAGGCTAAGGAAACAATTTAATTTTAGTAGGCTTAAAAATGAAGTAGCTAAATAACACATAAACAATTAATTATTGTTTTTTAAATTATAATATGTAATGATTTATAGTAACTTTATTGGTGAACCTTCTTTAAAACCACTATTTATTTTATTAAATTTGATATGTAACATGGATTTTATTTTTACCAGTAAACTTGAAAGACCCGGGTTAAGAAAATATAAACAAGAGAATTAATTAAAGAATTAAAAGAATTTTTTGAAAGACACAATTGGAACCCTGTTTTAGATCACATAGTTATTATTATTATTTAAAATTCTTATGTCTTGAACTTAAAGGATACAAACATATTAAAAAATCACAATCACATTTCTTTACATATTTAATTTATTTCAATTATTATTAGTTAGAATAATTTTTGCACTAATCAAAGTGTCATATCATAGTATATTATGGAATATTGATGTTAATTTATGTAGCTAAGTGTATTAATGTTTTGTGTTATTTTTATAGTTATTAATATTTTCAAGTGTTTATAATTGTTGAGAAAATTTATGGGGTTCATATACAGAAGCACTAAAAAAAATCCGCTGGAGATTCCTCGTGTAAAAATAAAATTTATTTTTCATATCAACCTAGGTCCGATTCTGCTATGTTTCATAGCTACAGGGTGTTAAAGTCTTCATATTTTCTCGATTTATTATAATTTTCTTCCAAGTACTTTTAGCGATTCGAATGAAATTTTGAGAATAAAAGTTAATTTATAGTAACGCATTTATATGCGACATGTTTTAATACTAAAAAAGTGTCGACATATGAATCTGTTGACACTTTTGTAGCATTTAAATATGTAGCACTTATAGTAACAACTTTTACCCTCAAAATTTCATTCGAATTACTAAAAGTACTTGGAAGAAAATTATAATAAATCGAAGAAAAAATGAAGATTTTAACCCTCTCTAGCTACGAAACAAAGCAAAATCAGACATATGTTGATATAAAATATAAATCTTTTTACGTGAGGAATCTCCCCACGAGAGATGGCACATAATTTTTGAGACACCCTATATAAAAAAAGCTATTTTTATTTTTACGTGTATTTTTATTCGTGAAATTGAAGGAGTGGCTGCAATAACCAGGTAGCTCCACTTTTTTACAAAAATGATATTTTTACTTAGTTACCCTCTAAAAATCGTACATATACAGGGTGTTTCAAAACAAATGCGAAAAACTTTAAGCCGGAGTCTCATGCATCCGAAATCCGATGGCACGACGATCCGACGGTGCTCCTATTGGTCGAAATATTTTGACACCAGTTTTTATCCGATATTTTTAACTAATCGTCCGACGTCGTATAAAGTTAAATTTTGCTTAACTTTTGTACGATATCGTGTGTTTTTTAACCTCACTTTTTTTGAAAACATTGGTTTTTAAAATCAAGTTTAGTGGGAAGTGGGCAATTTCGGGATATTTAGCGAGGAAGTTATTTTTATAAGTGTATCTCCAATAATACATGGAATAATACATAATAATAATACATAGGAATGACAGGTCTAAATGTCAAAACTATCAAATTTCGGAACGAACTTTCGGATATATGTGACAGGCTTTTTTTATTTCACACGATAACTTCAAATTTCGGATGTCGTACCATCGTATTTCGGATGCATGAGACTCCGGCTTTAGTAGGTGATTCCTTGTTCAAAATAAAGGGTAGTTTGCTTTATAAACGTTGGGTCAAAAGTCAACCATTAGGGAGATATCGCGGTACAAAGATGGCGGAAAAATAATGTTTTTATTTTTTATCTTGAAAACGAAAAGATATAGACTAATGAAATTTTATGGAAGCATTACTGTTATGAAAACACACTTTCAGGTAATTTTTTTACTTTTTAAAATGAGTGGAAGAGGTTGAAATAAACTACCCCTATCATTCTTGTTAACGAAATTTAAAGAAAAATCTTATAAAACACATGCAAATGCTTTAATTTGGATAGTTTAGTTTGTTTAGAAACTTTTTTACCTCTTGTGTTTTTTTGATAAAACTCACCCATTGGAAATTAAAAAATAAAATGTAAAGCATTACATGTCAGGACAAAAAACATTTTTAGATTAAGAATCTAGTGATAATAACGATAATAATAATCATCTAGATAATAACGTATTACAGTAGAGTAATGTCAAATAAAATAATATTAGGAACATCCTAAAAAGTAACAGCGGCCGACTAGATTTTTTCCTAAAAAAATTACAGCAGCCCACTAGATTCTTTATCAGAAAATGTTTTTGTCCTGACATGTAATGCTTTACATTTTATTTTTTAATTTCAAATCGGTGAGTTTTATCAAAAAAATACAAGAGATAAAAAAGTTTCTAAACAAACTAAACTATCCAAATTAATTTTTTTGCATGTGTATGATAAGATTTTTCTTTAAATTTCTGTTAACAAGAATGATAGGGGTAGTTTATTTCAACCCCTTCCACTCATTTTAAAAAGTGAAAAATTACCAGAAAGTGTGTTTTCATAACAGTAATGCTTCCATAAAATTTTATTAGTCTATCTCTTTTCGTTTTTAAGATAAAAAATAAAAACATTATTTTTCCGCCATCTTTGTACCGCAATATCTCCCTAATGGTTGACTTTTGACCCAACGTTTATGAAGCAAACTACCCTTTATTTTGAACAAGGAATCACCCCCTGAAGTTTTTCGCATTTGTTTTGAAACACCCTGTATAGCAACCTGGAGCTACCTTGCTTTCGGCATTTTCTATTAGCAGCAAGGACCGGATAGTTTTAGAATTGTCTGGTTTGGCTAGCAACCAGTGCCAGTTAATTTTGACGTAAGAAACGTCAAAAGTTGATGTCGTCCGATCGCGACCAAATTTGGTGGGTGGGCTATGTGAGCGACGGTGCACACGATCCCACCCTGCAAAGTTGGATACGTTTCGTTTACATCTTCATCAGGGTGGGGCGGACAGACAGACAGACAGGCGGACAGAAGTTTCACTCCACATATACGCACATAGTGCACACAATTTTTTTTACTGGGTATATTTAAACGTTATATTTATTGAATACTATTCTATATAATTTTATAAAATTAGTTAAAATATAAAAATATTTAAAAATTGTTATTATCTGATTACTATTGACAAAAATGAAATAATCGTAATAACATAATAATTAAGTTATTATCGTATTTTATTAACTGTGTTAAAAATCATATAACTTTTTATCATTAATATGTTTTTAAATTTTGTAACAATTTTTTTAATTTATTTACTTATATCCAAACGATTTGTTTTTGAGGTCATAGGCATGCATCAATTTGAAAAAATACTTCAGATTCATTATGTATTTCTTTACTATATTTACAGAAGATTTAAGGTTGATTCTCAACCTTCCACTCTCCTCACTATACCTCCCACTCCCTTCCGTTTACATAAAATATTATGTCATGTAAATAAATGGACTATGCATACTATCTGTTCCGTTTCCCTTCTGTTCCATAGCCTTTCCTTCCATACATTTTTTTGGCGGACGGACTGAAGCGTATCGGAAACAGCGTTGTCAAATTTTTACATTTGTACCAGCTCTGTTACCATTTTGCTGATATTTATTTATTCTTTTATCTCTTAATTAAATCTATTAACTTTTTCAAAAGATATAAATTTTTAAAATAAAACTTTCGTAATGTTATAAATAATAATACCATAATAGGTCATGTGGCGAGAACCATAATAGGTCATGTGGCGAGAACATCTAAAGACAGGTGGACTAGAAGATTGTTAGAATGGCGACCTCGAGCAGATAAACGTAGCAGAGGCAGACCACCGACACGCTGGACCGATGATGTAAAGAGGATTGCTGGAAATTGGATGATGACGGCCCAAAATCGAGAGACATGGAGAAATATGGAGGAGGCCTACGTTCATCAATGGACAACGATGGCTACATGATGATGATGATGATGAATGTTATAAATTGTACAATAAAAAGTATGGTAACTGCTACGGAACGGAACGTATAATAGCGTCAATACAATAAAAATACGGAACGAATATGGAATGGATATGGAATGAAAATGGAAGGTATAGTGAGAATCAACCTTTAATCATAAAATGAATTTAAAACTTTCACATTTTTCGACAGTTTGCGATCGCTTTTTCTTTCTTGTGGCGTCCTTTGCGGAACATGTTTGTCTATCATTTTCATTGAATCTTCATCTTAGCAGGCAAAATATTTGATACTACGACATTTGCTACGAGAAACCGTCGTTGTCGGTTATTTCTTAATGCGTCTCACTACCGTTACGAAGAATCATGTGATAGATTTAAATAACAAATTAATGTGAAACATTACAAACGAGAATCGCGCGAAATATGTTTGACATTCAACTTCCCAATTATTACGCGTTTATATAATAATGAAAGGAAAGGATGGTCGATAATTGTGGTCTGGTGCAACTACAGATATGAATAGGGCATGTATTATTATTTATCTTTATCTGATTATCAGGAAAATCAGTTGCATAAGGGTGTTATATTTATTTTTATGCCAAATTAGTGTTTAAAAAACGCCCATGTACCATTTAGAAAACAATGTTCATGCACTTGATATTAACAAAACTTTCACATGTTCAAAGTATTATTTTATTTATTATTAATAAGGTATCTTTACAGACTTTTGCATCAACTAATGATAAACAAAACACTATATTACTATTACTGCGGGTTTATTATCACAAAAGACCTGCATTTAATACGACCATTGATAAGAGGTTGTTTCGATATTGGGCAATAGATAAAATAGTAACTAATAAAGGGGTAATGTTTAGATAATTGAGTAGATATTTCGCCAACTTAACTTATGTATAATAAGAAAAATATTCATGTTTATTTCTAGTAGCCGATATATTATATACAGGGTGTCCCAATATTCCGTGGACATAGAACTACCACGTATTTTTGGAATTAAAATAAGTCTATTGGACACGATTTACCTCTATACAAAAGTTCGATAGAGAGCATCAAACTTTAAAAAATAATCACATTTTTCAAATATTTTAAGGACTGTTATTCCTATTTGAATGAGATTTTGGGTGTCTGTGTTTTGCTAAGTGCTTAAACATTTAACTTTCACAAAAATCAAGAAAAAGTACGGGAAGGGTGAAAATTACCACCACCCCTACGTAAATTTTACTATATATATTTTCCAAGTCAAGCGACGACCGATTTTTTTTTCGTAAAATGGTCCTTTTAAAGTATTTATTACATTTTTTGTCTCTTGTAAAAAAAACGCCACCACACATACTTTTTGAAGCTGACATCCAAAAAATATTTTTTGTCACATCAAGCTATGGAAAAATGGAATTTTACGTTAGTATTACAAATTATATTTGACAATAAGTTGACAAAATTAATAACTTTTAAATTAATTAACATTCGAGTTTGTTTTTGATTGGTGCCATCTATAATATGACATAAATTAGGATTGATTGACGTATTCAATTGTTTTTGGTCACTTCCTGTTTCACCGAAAACGACTACAACTTTTGATTTTTAAATGACACCCTCGGTATTTTTTACTTTATTTGAGAAAAAATGACACTCCGAATAGAATGACATATAATATGTCAACTTTTGTCATTTTGACATATGATTTGTTTGAAATTATAACATACGGTTGGCTGTGTGTGTTACAAAATTATTCGTAAAAAAATGTCCAAATATGCTAAAGAGCCACTCTTGTTTCATTTGAAAAAAATAAGATATGATTAAAAATACGATTTGGGCATCTTTTAACCAACCAGGACAAGACACGAAAAACATTAGACCATCAAATCTATTTTTTCAAGTCTTCTTGATTAAAAATTAATGTTTTTAACACAGCCATGGCATTCTAGATTGAAATTTAAAACACGATTTTTTTAAAGCGGAAATGCCAAAAGTTGACATATGATATGTCATTTTATTCAGAATGTAATTTTCTATCGAATAAAGTAAAAATATAGGAGGGTACCATTTAAAAATCAAAAATTGTAGTAATTTCCGGTGAAACAGGAAGTGACCTAAAATAATTGAACATGTCAATCAATCTTAATTTATGACACATACTAAGTAACATACTAAATCTCGTTTTTTCATCTGAAAAAATAAAAAGTTATAGGGGTGAGTCACTTTTGAGACGCACCCGGTATATTCTTCAAACATTTTATTTCCATGCAAATTGTCGTTCTCCTGTGAGTGTTCTTATCGTATCACCCTGTACATTAGTCTAACAGATACTGCCTATAAAGCTTTATTTTAAAATGAGTGTTAAATAATATAGTTAGTATATTTCTGTTGATTTGAATATAATACGGAAAATACAGTTCCTCTATTGAAAGCTCTACCGAAAGCAACGCATTTTCGTTTTGACTATTTTTGAACTATTACTGAAACGATGTTTCCTTCCTATTAATTTATAATTGTTTATTGTTAACTATATTATTTGTTTATATTGTTCGCTACTTACTTTACCACTCGCCAACACCAAAGGAAGCACAAAATCCATATAACTTTGCACGTTGCCTTTATCCATTTTATTGTTAGTTGTTTTTAAACGAACTGCAGGAAAAGAATTTCAAATCTATTTCACAATGTAAATACCTATCCTACCTTCGTAAATTATTAACTCTTACTGGTTTCTCACAATGGTCTTGGTCTTTTTCGAAATGCTTCGACCTTGGATCTGGTCGGGACTCCCGGTAGTAGACAGAGGTTTATTTTTTCCCACTTAAAAAAACTACTACTACATACGTCAAAAATTACAACATGTAAAGCGTGTTACTCATGAACGGGATTTATTTTTGTCGAAAGAATCGTCAGAAGAAATCCCAAACCAAATTAACAGCCGTTATATTTTAATTAAGAACTGTTATTCTTTAATAATATATTATTAATTTATGAACTTTCTATACTTTTGTAACGGTTTTGGTACTATAAATGAATCGTCAGTAGAAAATCCATCCGTAATTAAGGGATATTACACTTAATTTCTATTTGATTATTATATTATAATGAATTTGCTATAAGTTTAAGGCGTGTCTGTACTTTTATTGCAGTTTATTTCTGCAATCTTCTCTAAATATCGCCGTTACAACAAGATATTTCAAATAGAAATATTTGTAATTTTTAGCCGACCATACCAATAGGTATGTTAGGCTATTAAGATCGGCAAAAAAAAGTTTTTTTAATTCCACTCAAAATGAGGTATTTGGGTCATAAATGACCTAAATACAAAATATTTTCATGGTGTCTATCTGTCTGTCTGTCTGTTTGTCTGTCTGTCTGTCCGTCTGTAACACGATAACTCAAAAACCGCTAAACCGATTTTAACCAAATTTGGCACAAAAATACTGTGGCAGCCGAGAATCTGGCCATTAGTTTTTTTTTTGGAGGGGGGTTCTTTCCCCGGCGGCACTCTTTGTAAATACTACGAGTGCGGATGGGGGGTTGATAAGGGGGTATGGGAGGGGGTTAAAAATTTAAAAAAATTGTAACTCCAAAATTACAGTAGCTAGCGAAACGCGGTTTTCAATTTAAGATTATAGGAATAATATTTGCAACAAAATTTGTAAAAACATCAATTTCCGTCAAAGTCGCAGTTTTTGAGATAAAAAAAAATTGGAAAAATTCCTTTACTTTGAAACTAAATGAACTGCCTACCAACTTTTTATTAACATATTTTAGTATGGGCGGCTATACGTGCCTCCTGGCGCCAATTTTTTGTTCTAAAAAGCTACTGAAATATATTAAAAGGTCACGTAAAATGCTGTAGAATATTCACCCAAACAAATTTCTTAGTGGTTCTTTATTAATTAATTTTTTTTTAAATAAAAATAAAAAACTAACTTTTTAAGATAACTCTTTACCCCATTGTAAGCAAGAAAGTATACAGGGTGATTCACTGTCATGCTGTTAGACGTTTATTTTGGTGGAGAACCGGTGATAGTTTTTTTTTAATTTGCATTTTTGCATAAAGGCACCTGCTCGATCTGTCTAAATAATTTTTAGTATTACAGTGTTGCCGCTTCATACTAAAGTGCTATCTTTGTTACTTTAAATAGAACCCACACCTAACCACCCAATATATTATTACATTATTTACTTATTATGTTATTACATTTATATCTTATACATATTTACATTTTTCGAAACTACATACTTTCATATCTCATAATTTTTCTATTATACTAACCTATACCTAGAATGTAGAGTGTTTAGGAGAGTGGTTAATCACTGCGACCTTACAGATCTATTGTGTAGTCCCCCTTCTTGAGTTACAACGAGTTTTAACTCATCATACAGTCTCAGAGCTTTGACAAAAGCCCGACTCCACAGAGGCCAGCTCTCCATCTTCAACCTATGTCTATATCTAACAGTTTTCGAGAAAAGAAATAAAACATGTGTAAAATTGACAAAAACATGAACTTGAATAAGCATTGGTTAAATCATAAATTCGTGATATTGAAAGCTGAAATTGGTTTATGGTTGGCTTATGATGGCCGTGAATCACCGTGTACCGATTTGGTCATCGAAACTGCGCGGTCTGGATTTTAACGTGTAAGATAGTCACAACCTCACAATTAGACGTTTACGAAAAATCTTGCATCTAGGGTTGGAATTTTTTGACTATTAATTATTTTAATTAAACTGTAATAGATTATATTTAGCTTAGATATGTTATCTTCATTTCAGTAGTATACATGAAAATTTTTAAAATAGTTTACTTTTTCTACACACAGTTCCTACAAACGTAAAAAACCGACAACACTGTATGCCGCTTTTGATTTTGTCTATGTGTCTGTCAACTGATCATTTATATTATTCTCTGTCACACGCATTAAAATCCAGACAACATAGTTTGGATAAACAGCAGGGTATACGTATCTAAAGGTTCTCCAACGAATCAGGGAAGATTTCAACAGACGACATTTTCCCTCTCTCAAAAAATAAATACATAGGTCAAAATACTAAATATGATCAAAAAATAACGGCTTAACGGCTGTCTTGAAATTGATAAACGATAATAATTTCAAATAGACCTTTATATGTCATTTATAAAATATGATAATAAACTCGATAATAAGTTTAAGAAAATACAACTTACATTAATAGTTTTTAATAGTATATTGTTAATTTAAATAAAATTATCATATATCAGAAAATTGTATTATAGTACTATTATAAATCTGTTTCTTTTTTCATCCAGGTATTATCTGCAATTTTCTCGATCGCCAGGTATTTTTCTGCTAATGTTTTGGTCGATGTAGCGATAAAGTTAGGCTTCATCAAGTCAAACTCTTCACCTAAAAATATCTATAATTCAGATATTTAAAAAAACAGAAAATATAAACCGCACAAACATGACAGAACTCTCAGAGACGCTCAGTTCTGTGGGGACTCTATCATGTTTGTACAGGGTATCCCATTATCGTGTGTTTTACAGAGTTTCTCGTTTATTATTAGAGATACGAAGATGCAGTTTTCACGTCACTTTAATACTTTTTATGAAACTAAAGTTGCGACACACAGATTTGTCCTAGCTCCTTTAGTTTCTGAAATACTGTTGAAGTGAAAATTCAAGTAAATGATACTTTTTTTATCAGATATTGATTCAATGATTTTTTATAGAAATTTAAACGATTTATAGAAATATTTGTTTTATGAATAGATAACATTATTTGAAGCATTATTTATTAATGAACATTTTTTTTCAATTTTCATTTATGTGGTGGGTATTTATTTTTAGTGGACAACAAAATTTAAAACTGAAATAAAAGTAAACAACTAATTTGTTTGGCTGCAAATCATCACAAATTAATTTTTGAAAAAAGTGATAATATAGACAATTAGAGAAAGTTATTTATTCTCACCACTAGACAAAATAAAAATTGTACAACTACGTGTTACCTTTTTGTAATATACTATTCTCAAAAATCTAAAATAATATACCTGATGAATCTATAACATAACCACCCGCTTCTTTTACAATTAGCGTTCCGGCAGCAGCGTCCCATGGATATAAACCATCACATTGGTAGGCATCCAATTTTCCAGATGCCACGTAGCACAGGCTTATTACTGGACAACCAAAGGATCTTACGCTAAAAGACATAATAATTTGATAGTCTAGTTATACAGGGTTGTTCACCACATACGACACGGAGTATTGTAGCTAAACGATTAGATTTTCACAAATTGTAAGTTCTGGGTTCGTTGAAGGTCAATTAGAGCTACAATTTAAAAATATATTTACAAGATACAGAGTGTCCCAAATAAGTAAAAAATATTATAGTTATATTTTTTTAAATGGAACACCCTGTATATTATTCTATTTTTGGATTCTACGATTGAAATAAAGGTAAATTTGATTAAGGTTTATCACACTTAAACCTTACCGTTTTTGAAATATTTTCAATTTTATGAAATTGCAGTAAAAATTTTAAGGCTTTATTTCTCCCAGGGTATCAAAGTTTTTAATACCAAATATTTACTGAAGATTATTTATTGATCAGATATTGTGTTGCAATAATAAAAATTTTACTACCTTATACAGAGTGTCCAAAAATTTATATTAAATAATTACTAGCTTTAAACGGCAATAACTTGTTTAATTTAAATGGAACACCCTATATTTTTTACGTAAATCAGATGCACAATGTAATTGTCTATCAAATTTTATGATACCATTTTTTACCCATCTCTTCAAGTTTTCGTAGAAAATGCATTTTTTTATAATTTAGGCCTCATTTATCACTATACCCATGGAATATTGACATTTCAGATTTTTTTATAGCACCATAATATATATAAAATGTACAGGTGGTAAATATTGCAAGCCCATTGGCATACAAAATAAACTATTTAAATATTTATAAAAGAGTATACCAATTAAATATACCATCATTATTTCCTACCAAAAACACCAAAAATTAGTTAATTACATACTTATAAATTGTTTTAATTAAAAAATTATTCTAAATAAATGTGGATTTGGCTCAGAAATCAATATAATAATAAGTTATAAAAATGAATGTCTGTGTTTTTATAAATAAGCATTCGTTAATAAATGAAGTAAAATCTATAAGGTGTTGCTTTTTACCACACTGTCTAATACACACACAAAATTCAGTTTTTTAGTATTTGGAGCAATTATTTCTACAACGTAAACAGTCAAATAATGTAATTTGAATACTGGGATCATATTAATTGGTCCTCTTTAACAAAAAATATTTAAACAGTTTTTGTATTTTTTAATTAAATAAGCGAACTAGATATATCGACAATATTAGTATCTGTACCCTTTGAAAATTTGTTATATCTTTAAAAATAAGCAATAATGTCAATATTCCATGGGTATAGCGATAAATGAGGTCTAAATTATAAGAAAATGCATTTTCTATGAAAACTTGAAGAGGTGGGTAAAAAATGGAACAATACAATTTGATAGACAATTACATTGTGCATCTGATTCACGTAAAATATATAGGGTGTTCTATTTAAATTAAACAAGTTATTGCCGTTTAAAGCTAGTAATTATTTAATATAAACACTGGACACTCTGTATAAGGTAGTAAAATTTTTATTATTGCAACACAATATCTGATCAATAAATAACCTTCAGTAAATATTTAGTATTAAAAACTTTGATACCCTTGGAGAAATAAAGCCTTAAATTTTTTACTGCAATTTCATAAAATTGAAAATATTTCAAAAACGGTAAGGTTTAGGTGTGATAAACCTTAATCAAATTTACCTTTATTTCAATCGTAGAATCTAAAAATAGAATAATATACAGGGTGTTCTATTTAAAAAAATACAACTTTGATATTTTTTACTTATTTGGGATACTCTGTATCTTGTAAAAATATTTTTAAATTGTAGCTCTAATAGTCCTTCAACGAACCCAAAACTTACAATTTGTAATAATCTAATCGTTTAGTTACAATACTCCGTGTCGTATGTGGTGAACAACCCTGTATAAATATACATAGAAATAATACTTGAAAAGGTCAGTTATGTTGTGATATATTAAAATCGGGATTAAAATATATATTTTATGACGTTTATGGAGAACCGGTGATAGATTTTTTTTGGAAAATTTGGATTTTTACATAAAGGCACCTGCTCCATTTATCTAAAATATTCTCAGCGTTACAATTTTTCGGTATCATTTGAAAAGTGGTAGCATCTTTCTTATTTTAAATGAAACACCCGGTATATTATTACATTTTTGGAAACTACGTTCATATCTCAATTTTTCTATTATACTAACATATACCTATCTCTAACATTTTTTGAAAACATAATATAAAATTGACAAAAATCTTGATCTTGAATAAGCATTGGTAAAATCATGAATTGAAAATCTTTAAAGGTGAAATTTGGATTATAAGTTAACAAAAGTCTATATATTCGATCTGTCTACTGTATGATTTAAGATTACAATATATTTATAGCAAAATTAAGTATAGACCATCTAAAGTATATACCTAATACCTAATATAGTTTTGATTCCAGGACAGTTCTTGTATTTGTAATATCTTTCCCATATCAAATATCTACCATATTTGCTGAACATTTTAGAAACACCTCGCACACAACAAACTATCACCCAGCATTCATGAACTATAAACTTCACGAGGAGAAATCTCCTCCAAATTTTTCAACTAAAAACAATTATCCATATAATTCCCCCTCTACGATATTCGTACTAAAATCAGTTTTAAATTCCCCTAAAAATTCAGCTCCTGGCCCTGATGGAATCCTATTTCCAATGATCAAATACCTTCCTCCCAACCTCCTTCATTTTCTCTTACATAAAGTTTGGCTAACGAGTCAAATTCCTAAAGAATGAAAAAAAAAACCCAGCTCACTAACAGTTACAGACCAATCTTTCTTACTAGTCACATATGTAAAATTTTCGAAAAAATGGTCGACAACAGGCTTTCTTGGTTCTTAACTGAAAACAGTATTCTCCACCCGATGCAATATGGTTTTCGTAAAAATCGAGGTACACTGGACCACTTAGTAGGTATGGAGATGGATATTCACGAAAACTTTTTGATCAAAAAACATTTAATAGCTGTGTTTCTAGACATTGTAGCGTTTTTTAAACAACTACCACTGCGAACGGCAGCTTTTCATCGGAGAGCAGTCGTGGATAAGGTATTTCACTGGAAAGAAAACTAATTAAGAACAATAAACAAAAAAATAGATATTGGGCGCCAGGCATGTACAGAGAAAGAAAACACAGTTGTATATTACTTAAAACTAATGACTATATTCATTCATGATGTTCGTTGCTGATACATGACATTGTACAATTTTAATAATTATTATAGTGGTTACTTGTTGAGTAAAACCATATATGTAAATAATATTAAATACGTTCCATGAAAAGACTATAAAGAAAATACAATGCGTGTAACGTTATAGAAAATATAAGAAAAGTAGCATTACTTTATTTAAATTGTTAAATTTATACGGTGTTAAATCAGATGTGTTGCAACCTCTAGATTCTAGAATCTATCTCGTTATTCATCTGTTAGTATAGCGTAATAATAATGTCTATAGAAAGTAATACTATTACAATGTGTGATATTATGAAATCTAAAATCCAAATCACACTTTTACTACTGCATCGACATAAATATCCTTAATAATCTAACCACTAAATATAGTCTGTACGCTATTGTTTAAAACGTACGTTACTGCTTAAGACTGAAAACATTTTAGATGTTAAATGTAAAACTAGAACTTAAATATACACTTAGCTGTTCTTTTATGTAACCCTGCTTCAAACAGTAGCAGCGCGAGGAGGTCTAGCATCTCTGTACTGTCTGTCGGCGATCCAGGCTTAGAAATGGGGGTGAAGCAGCACGGGGCTCAAGCCACATCCACGCTGGGGCACTCTATGTGTAAGACAAATCAATCCTACTGGGGACACTTGTCCATGGGACATCCGTCCATAAGATAGTGGCACAAGAGAACACTACTAGGACCTTGAAAAATAGTCCATACCTTGGACACTTGTCCGTAAGACAATGTCCGTCCGTAAGACCCTAAGAACACGAAACTCTTGTTTAAAATCAAACACCGTCTAATAAACAAAATGAACCTACCTCGAAATACTTCCGAGGGCTCAATAAATAATAAACAATCTGTCCTTTCTTCCAAATGACATTCTGGAGGACAAAAGCAAAGGGACGCCAACGTGCCAGCCAAATACAAATACAAGTTGGGACATCCGTAACTCTACCCTAAAAATATTCACTAATAATATCGAATCTAAAAGGAAAATAACTCAGCTTTACCTGTAGCTTCGAAATGGCAGCTGATTCAGATAATACAGCCAGATTTAAATGACCACCATTTCTCAACACTGGGACTAATGGCGTCTAAGAGGCCAAACGGTCCAACCAAAAGTGAAGTTAGATCACAGAGAATTGACAGAAGCGATGTTGACAGCGCGCGCTCCCACAGAGCGATACCAGGGTTGTGTCAAACAATAACAGGGTTGTGCCAAACAATAACAGGGTTGTGCCCAGACATCATATATCATAATCAAAGACATGTAACGAACTAAAAACGTTACAACATTAATAAAGCATATGATATGTGCTGGAGATTTAATGTCATTTAAAATCTTTATAAAATAGGATTAAGAGGATCATTACCACTTTTCATATCAAATTTTCTTTGCCAGCGTGAATTTCAAGTTAGAGTCAACAATGTTCTGTGTCTCCGTCCCAACCTCTAGAGAACGGCATGCCTCAAGGGTCTGTTTTGAGTTGTTCTTTATTTCTTCTATCCCCTTCTTGACCTCCCTACATATATCTCCCCTGACATATCTATCCGCATGTTTGCTCATGATGATTTGGTTATTTACTATTCTTCTATATCACCCAGAGTTTGTCAGAATCATCCTATTCCTAGTGGAGGTCAACATAGGTTTCTTGGATTGATCTTGAATAGTTCACTATCATGGAAGCCTATACGAAGCCTACCATATATCTTATATTAAATCAAAGTGTCTCAAACATCTCAACATCATTAAGGCTTTTGGTAATTCCAATTGGGGTTCCCATCCAACTTGTCTTTT